GCCGTTTTTACAAAACGTAATTGTTTAAAAAATTTTAAAATATCTACAAAAAAAAATTATGTAAGAAAGTGATGGAAAATTTTTTTAAACTACATTTTACCGGTCAAACCAAAAATTACTAACACCATATTGTTACTATCTCTTTATATTTATTGATAAATTAGCTCCAGAAATAATAAACTATGCAATTGTTTATTTAAACAGCGGCAAAACTTTACAAGGGCTAAAAGTGAAGTACATCAATAAAAACTAAAAAAAAACTCTCACTAAAAAACTTACCGGCGGAATCCAGAAATACTTCACAAGTACTTGACCGAGACATCCATTGAATTAATAACGGTGTTTAAATTAATTTACGTCGGCCAGTTGGTTTTAAAATCAGCCAAAGCTTCGTAAGTACATAACATATCACGCAAAAAAAAAAAAAAAAAAAAAAAAAAAATCTTAAAATTATCCTTTACTGGCGAACACAGACATTAACAACAATTATTTATTGCTACTCCTTTATATTTTTTGAATAAATGGCTCGCAAATTACATGAAACAGGCAATTGTTTATAAATAAGCGCTACCTTTTACACAGGCTATAAAGGTAACATTTAAGACAAAAAATTCACAGTAAATAAACTAATTGGCGAAATCCAGAAATACTTCACGTGTACTTGCACAAGGCGCCCATTGATTTAATAACAGGTTGTTTAAATTAATTACGCTTGCCAGTTGGTTTTAAAATCAGCCAACTCTTGCTCCAACATTGCATTCCACTAAAAAAAAATTAAAATTTCGTAAAATAACATTTTACCGGCAAACCAAAGAACTACATCTATTATTTTGTTACTACTCCTTTATATTTATTAAATAAATGGCTCCACTATTAATGACTGTGGGCAATTGTTTATAAACTAGCTAAACCTTCACACAGGTACCATATATTAGAAAAAAAAATACAGTAAATAAACTAACCGGCGGAATCCAGAAATACCTCACAAGTACTTGTACCATGGATTTAATAACAGGTTGTTTAAATTAATTACACTTGCCAGTTGTTTTTAAAATCGGCCAAAGCTTCGTAAGTACAGAACATATCACGGAAAAAAAATTAAAAATTCTTAAAATTACACTTTACCGGCAAACCACAGAATTACAACAATTATTTTGTTGCTACTCCTTTATATTTATTGAATAAATGACTCCAAAATTAATAACTGTAGGCAATTGTTTATTAAAAAAGCGTAAACCTTCACACAGGCTATACAGGTAACATATAAAAAAAAATACAGTAAATTAACTAACTGGTGAAATCAAGAATTCCTTCACAAGTACTTGCACAAGACACACATTGATTTAATAACAGGTTGTTTAAATTAATTACGTCGGCCAGCTGTTTTTAAAATCAGCCAAAATTTCCACTCCAACATTGCATTTCACTAACAAAATTTTTGAAATATTCGTAAAAATACTTTTTACCGGCGAACCATAGAATTACAACAATTATTTTGTTACTACTTCTTTATATTTATTGAATAATTAGCTACAGAATTAATAACTGTATGCATTTGTTTATAAAGAAGCCCAAAGCTTTAAACATGCTATACAGGTACAATATATAAGATAAAAAATTCACAGTAAATGAACTAACCGGCGAAATTCAAAAATAACATCACAAGTTCCTACACAAGACATCCATTGATTTAATAATACTTTGATTAAATTAATCACTCTGCCCAGATTTTTTTAAGTCTGTCAACGTTTCTCAGCAACATTGCATTCACTCACAAATTTTTTTTAAAAATCTTAAAGCTTCATTTTACAGGTGACCTACAGAAATACTAAACCAGTTTTGTTACAAATACTTAATGTTTATTGATGAAATGGCTCCAGAATTAAGTACTGTTTAAAATTGTTTATAATGAAGGTGAAATCCAAAAATTCATATTCCATCTTTTGCTAATCTTCCTTTCAATTAGGTATGTTTGCAAGTACTGATCTTTCAGATCTACCCCTCCTATGTATATATTGTAATCTAGAATGTACGCAGGTTTTTTAATTTCTTCTTTTTTATTTGTAATGACTGTTTCAAATTCATCCTCATGTTAGGTGCTTATCATAGAAACAACCATTTTACTCATTCTTTGCAACAATTTTCCTAGCTTTAAATTTTTTTTTTTTTCCAGAAATATTTTAGACTTTTTTTTCTATTTAAATGTTGTTTCTACACAATCTTTTTTTTTAAACATTGGGAGTTGTAGTAATTGGCCCTCAATGATGGGTGGTCCTTATTTAGCAAAGGCTGTATTAAATTTAAGACAATTTGTGTCGTTTTATTAATAGTATGTCTGACAGTAACAATGATTTAATATTATACGTAGAACATAGAAGACGCTGTATTGTAAATTAATTATTTCTATAAAAAACATCCACAAAGAAATAGAAACACTTTGATATTAAAATATCTGTATCAATATTAATATATAAGTATATTGACGGTGTCAATATACTTATTTAAAAGTATACCTACAATTTTATTGTTAATTCACATAAGTGTATATTTGTGAATCCACTCAGTCTTCAAGTAAACATTTCAATATAAAAACCACGAGGCTCATTTGGATTAAACCGCTCCTTCAACTCTCCTGGTACTAAAGAAACAGCAATATCAAACATTTAACATAAAACAAGTAGCATATGGTGGATTTCGATAACTTCCACGGTTTTAGTGATGTGGTCAAAATTCCAATAAATATACTTATAAATTGTGAAGTAATGATGCTGCAGCAGTTGTTAATAACCTGTATTTGTACAAGAAATTGTGGTAAAGTGAAATTTTAGGAATTTTAAATT